AGCACCTTCCCTTCTCTCGCCATAGGTATTCCTCAGATTTTACCCTAAAACAAATTTGTTGAGGAGGGAGATGGAGAGGAATAGGTCAGCCTGGCCAACTTTGTGTTTGTCAGACGGCACCAACACGAAGTGTCTCAGCTAGTGCTGTCTGTCCTATCCGCAGCCAGGTGGTTTTTGGTGGCAGCTTTCCTCCACGGAAGAGGAAGCCCAGGCATAGTAGTCACGTGTGGGGAAGAGCCAGGCAGTCATTGGTCCCTTCGGCCCCTTGGCCTGGCACTGCCCTGACATGTGGCACTGCCTACAAGGCCACTTCTTCCTGATCCTGTCCTTGCCTGCCCCTCCCCTAGTGCTCCCCGATGAAGCTGCTGTGAGTGTTGGTGCTCTGGGGCACGGGCCTGCCCCAAGTGTCCGTCCTCCCATACTACCCCCAGCAAGATCTGCCAGGCCCTGCTGTCCCAGCAGCTGCCCTAGTGCACCAGCCCTGCTGACCTGTGTCTCCTACACCAGAAACGAGAGCCCACTCTCCCCTGGCCAGGTCAGGGCTCTGGGTGTGACGGTGCTGATCCTGGTAGCCAAGGCTCTGGAGGAGATGAGAACGGTGACAGCCATAAGCCAATTAAACCTTTACCCCCTTTAAAAAAAATGGTGATGGAGAGGTAGAAACAGAGATATGGCAAGAGAGTCCAGGACAAGAACCAACTGTTGGCAGAGATCAAATGCGGGATCTTGTCCTGCCTTCAGCTTGGTGGGCCTCTGGGCAGACATGGCCCAGGCCTTTTCCAGGTTGCTGTTGAGTCCTGGGTTTCCAGGAGTGTTCTGGGGGCCACCCCATGTTTGTGGCTTTTGCTTGGAGCAGGATGACAGGGTTCAACTTATTCTCTTCTGGACAAATCCTCCAGGGAACCCACAGAGGAACCGCCTTGGGTAGATGCTGCCCATTGCTACCCCCTGTTTCCCAGGCTGTAAACCTGGGCCATGAGGAAAAGGAAATGTCACTTCTGGGAAGCTATGAGCTCAACCCTGTCTGGGGACTTACACTCCATGTCATGAGAGGCCATCAAGGGCTTTTCCAAGGCTGACAGCCTATGACCTGGTGCCATGACTACACCCAGAACCCTGGCCAATGCAGGCAAGTGCCCACCAGGTGTCCACCCTGGCTAAAACTCTGTATATATCATCTCATGTAACCCTTATGCATCTGCTTTCGTAGGTGAGCACTCAGGCTGGAAGAGGTGTGGTCACCTGCTCAGGGCCATACAATTAGCACGTGACACAGCCAAAGTTTGCTTCTAGGCTTCAGCAGACCCTTGATTAGGTTGGTTACCGGGGCACAGAGGCCAGCTTGTGGTACCCAGAGGCAGCTCCAGGATGCAGCAGCTCCAGCCAACCTATGCTTGGACTCTCTGAACCCCACACAAGCCTGTTCCCTCAGGAGCCCTGGGACCCAGGGTGCATCTCTGGAGAAAAACCCACCACATCCCTCTTCTGCCCTTACCAGAGCTGGCCAGGACAGCCTTAGAGATCATGCTTCCCTTGGAGTCTTCAGGAGAGGGACTGGCTGGGGCCAGTGTGTGCTCGAAGCCCCTGACCTCATGAGTTCACGTAATCCCAAAGACCAGGAAAATGTTTCCTGCTGGGTAACCTTCTTATTCCTACAATACTTATCCACTCTAAAGCAGTGGTTTTTCAAGGGGTAATTTTCTTCTTTGCAAGACATTTGCCAATGTTTGAAGATATTTCTGTCCATCTTAAATTGCAAGGGGCAGGGGGATTGCTACTGACTTCTAGTAGGTAGAGGCCAAGGATGCTGCTAAACATCATACAGTGCACAGAGCACCCCACAACACAGAAGTTCTGCCCAAAAGACCAGTTGTGCTGCGACTGAGAACCCCTGATGCATGGGTTTAGGGGCCAGGCAGACCTTGGTTTGAGTCCTCCCTCTGTCATTTACTAGCTGGGTACTCTTAGGCAAGTGCCTTCACTTTTCTTAGTCTCAGCTTGCTCATCACCAAAAACACTCACCCACAAAACAACAATAACAACAAAAGGCACTAATAATATCCCTCACCTCTTGGGGGCTTGAGGACTATACAGACTGCATACATCCAGCACCTGGGACAGAGTCTGGCACTGGGAAGCCCCTGGCAGTGATAGCCATTAATCTTTTTCCAAGGTGGAAGGCAGCACGTGGGAACAAAGGTCTGCTGGCCGCACCCATAGCTCAGAAGCAGCTAGCCCTCCCTCCGCGGTCCCTGGCACAGGCTGGGCCTATTGTTGCAGGAGAGGCTGAGTTGGCTACTGCAGACCTGCAGGAGGAACCAGAAGAGACCCGATCCCTAGTGGGCAGAGGTCACCTGAAGCTCATCTTGTACATCCTTCCCTCTGGCCCAAACCCAGGGAAGCTAACGAATCTGGTCACTTAGCTCAGAGAAATGCCATGGATAACAACTGGGCATCAGTGAGGAGTGGCATGTGAGTGGACACCACCAAGAGGGATATGGAAGTGGGCAGGAAATGGCCCAGGAAAGAGTGTGGCCAAAGGCCTGGCCGTGTGGAGAAAGGGTGTTTCCAAATGGGAGTCCAGTGTAGACAGGGAAGTGCAGCTTGGTGGCAAAAGCCCACGCCCACGGGGTGGTGGACAGTCATCAGGGCTGGGAAGCTAGACATCAGTTTTCAGACTGAGGGCTCCTTCCTTCCAGGGTGTGGGGCACCACAGCCCTCCCTTTCTCTGGAGTGGGAAGGTAAATGTGGTTTTCTCTTTCCAGCCCAGATCCCCAACGTACACTTAAAACAGGACTTGGGGATCCCTGTCCCCGCCAGGGCTTTCCATCTCTGGAGGTCTCACAGCCTACCTGGTCTGGCCAGCTTCCCCCACCTTGCCCATAGGGCAGCCCCTCAGGTCCCCATCCTCCCTCTGCTGGTTTCTCCTCTTCCTTCCTGCCCCTTCCTCGGCTGCATCCATCCCCACAGGATGGGGAGCCTGTCACTTGCTGGAGTTTGACAGCGTCCCTGTCTTTCTATTGCTTGTGACTTGAGAAGACTGAAGTCTTGGCCATGGCCTGTCTATGCCACGGGCCCCTGGCTCAGCTCAGGCCGACTCAGGGGCTCTGCCCCACTCCATCCCTTAGGCCTCAGCTGGGAAGAGTTCTCCCCCAGGAGGCCAGGGACCTAGAACCCTTTTTCTTGGGAAATGCGATTTCTGTGGGAAAGTGTAAGGGCCTGGCTTTCTGAGCTGTAGAGGGCAGGGGAATACACTACTTGGATTCCAGTTGGTGCTCGCGAGGGGTTTGGAACCAGGGGAGACTCGGCGAAGAATGAAGGAGTTGTGGCTGAAAACCAAGTTTCTCATCTGGAAAAGAAGCTTAGGCCTTTTCCTGGGCGGTGGGCGCTCTGGAAGGTGGGGAAGAGTGCGAGATGGGGTAGAGGCAGCTCCCAGAACGGCCAGGGGAGCAGCGTAGCAGCAGCCCACTACCGCCTCCAGCCCTGGAGTCTCGCCAGCTCTGTCTCCGGGCAGGGCAGGGACCGGCAAGACTGGCGGCGGGCAAGGAGCCTGGCCGTGGCCGTGCTCCAGCCAACAGGAAGTGAGGGAGTGAGACCCGGCTAGGCGGGCCAACCGGCCGGTGGGGAGTCCCGGGCACGGGCGTGGGCGTGGGCACAGGGAGCCGGGGAACCCCCGCCGGCGCCTCCTGGGCGCTAGGATGGGGACGAACCCCACCATCTCAGAGTCCTCTCTAAAACAGGGTTCCCGCTAAGGCTGGTTTGCACTCCTTTGGGGTGTGCGCAAAGAGTTCCGGGAAAGGCAGAGAGGTGAGGCGACCTAGTGACCG